AGAAGCTGGGTTCTATGAAGAAAAATGTGGCGTCAGGATTGGAGGAAGACTCATTAACAACCTGCGATATGCAAATGATATCTTGCTTGCTGAAAATGAAGAGGACTTGAAACATTTGTTAGGGTAGTCTTAGGAATTTCATTCATGCCCCCTAGAAGGTGGAGTTACAGTGCAGTTCAGATCTCTGTCTGAGTCTGCATTAAAAGCATGGTGTCTGGAATCAAGGAAGTGACTACCAGATGGGTCTCCATGGGTGTGTCCTCTCCAAGAAGACTACAGTCCATTCCAGGCACCAGCTTTAAGAAGGGCGTCAATGGGTTGCAATGTGATGAGCAGAGAAACAGTAGGAGAGAGGGGCTTGCACATCACCTACTAGCCTCTCTTGGTTTTTCCACACAACAGACTCTAGGGCCTCAGGCCTTGAATACTACATCTGGCTCCTTACCCCACCCTTCACAAACACACTCTTGAGCTCCACCCCTGTGCTTTCTTTTATCCCTCAGGGCTCCACTGACACCTTGTTAAACTCTCCCTTGTTACTCAGATGGAGCCCCTGCTCCTTTCCTTTGTATCCTGTGTTGTAATTTATCATATAATACATGTATTTGTGTGGTTGATGTTTATTCGTTAATGTATGCCTCCTTAGAAATTTGTAAGCTGAGTTAACAAGGAATCTTATGGATTTTGCCCAAATGATGTCCTGAGCCTTCTCCAGCATCCAGCAGAGAGTGGAATGTTTTTAAACATGGATTGAATGAACAGTTGAATGCATGAGTTTATGAAGGCAGGGTTGAATACATGAACAGTGATGAAGCAGCATGGCCAGGCTGGAGAAGAGATGAGATGATGTGGGATTGTTGTTGCTAAATGCCATTGAGTTGGTTCTGACTCCTGCAACTAACTCAACCCTGTATGAGGTTTCTGAGGAGCAGCTGGTGGGTTTGAACTGCCAACCTCATGGTTAACAGTCAAGTGCTTATCCTACATCACCACAAGGGCCATGAAAATTATCTTAAAATGAAAAGTGATTGGATATTTTCTTTATATCTTGTACTCAATTCTGAAAAGGGAAGATTTTGGAGGAAGATTTTAACACTGATAAATGGTGTTTTCACTTATATAAGAGCTGGCACAAATGGTTGTCACTTAGTTACTAACCTAAAAGTTGGCAATTCAAACCCACTAAGCAGTACTGCAGAAGAAAGTCTTGAGAATCTTCCATAAAGATAACCATCAAGAAGACCCAATGATACAGTAACACTTGAGGTTGCCATGAACTGCAATTGACTTGACAGCATCCAGCTTGAAGCTGGGTTTTAAAAGCTATTCAACAGTGAAATGAGTTGCTATGGAAGAAAGTATTTGTCTATTTCTGGAGGTGCTCCAGAACAAGTAAGATGGCCAATTGCCAGAGATATTGCAGGATAGGAAACTACCAGCCGCTCCGCGGGAGAAAGATGAGGCTTTCTACTCCCGTAAAGATTTACACCCTCGGAAACCCTGTACAGGGTCGCTATGGGTCGGAACCGACTCAACGGCACTTAACAACAACAACAATTTCAGGATAGAGAGGAGATTCCTGTACTGAAAGTCATTGATCTAGATAGTATATGAGGACGTTATTTTTCCAGATAGTTTTTTCTGATACTAAGCTGGAGTGGCATTGTTTTAAATTCCTTTTCTTAAAAACAAACAAAACATGATATAGACTGATAAGTTTCTCTCTTCTTCTTTCTTCCTTTGGGGGATATAGATGAGGTTTTGTCTGAAAACTTTCTGGATTATAAGAACCGTGGCGTCAATGGTTCTCATCGGGGCCAGATCATATGGAAGATTGATGCCAGCTCATACTTTGTGGAATGTGAGTACTTTATTCTTGGTGTTCAGCAAGCATGGGTGAGGTAGAATTCAATTTCTTTGTTCTTTGTTGGGTTGCATTTCTTCCACTCCTTAATAATGTACCAAGTAAAAGAGAGAAATTTAATGAGATACTTAAAACTATTTCAGTAGTGAGATCTAGAGCAACTGGGTAACAGTTATCCACAGCAGCCCAGAAGTCCACTCTGCAAATACCATGAAAAGTTTAGTTCATACTCAATAGACCTCTAGACCCAGGACCTTTCGACTCCTGTCCTTTGATTTTTCACTTCATGGCTCTTCCATGTAGTCTTCAGTTTTACCATACTTACTACCTCTTCTCTGTGCTGCCCTCCAGTTTGGGTTTGACTTTACCCAGTACCCGAAGTGCCAATACATAGGTGATACCCCATGCTTTACCCTGAACTTTAGCACTGGTAACAACTCAGAATGCAGACCATTGGTACTATAAGCCTGTTGCTTTGATTCCTAATCTATTGGCATTTCTGCTTATATAATCTTATCAACATATATGTTATTAGAATATCATGTATGTTATTGAAATATTTTTGATTTTGTTAGAAAACAAACCATTTTCAAGTTGGGCTGGATATTTTTATAGATTCTTATATTGGGACATTTCTCATTGCAGGTATAGATGTCTATATGAATGCAAAGATTACCCTTAGTCCACAGATCCTTCCCCTTCCATTTGAGTGCTGGAGAATACTTTGTCTACCTTTGGTTCTTGGCAAGTGTTCATTCCACTTAGTACTTCTGAACAGAAATAAGATAGTCTGTTATCTCATTTACTCGGTTCTCATAGGAAAAGATAGGTGGTCAGGAATTTGAAATTGTGTCTTGTTATTTGTCCTGTGGCTCAAAGAAACGATATCCCCTAGCTTGTTGTGCTCCCAAGTTCTTCATATTCATTCATTCACTTAATAAATATTTATAGCTGTTGTTGTAAGACCTACTATATTAGTATATTCATAACCACTATATAGCGTAGTGGTTATGAATCGGGTTGCTAACCTCAAGGTTGGCAGTTCAAAACTAACAGCTTTTCTGTGGGAGAAAGATGAGGCTTTCTGCTCCCGTAAAGATTTGCAGCCTTGAAAAACCTGCACACGGTCACTGTGAGTTGGAACCGACTCCATGGTACTTAACAACAACAACAACACTATATTCAAGGACTATAGACTTAGAAGAAGAAAGCCATGGTCTCTGCCCTCTAAAACCATTTGATGTCTGTTCCCAGCCATGACACAAGTTCCCCTTTTTCACACAAAACCAGTAGAACATTCAGGAGATTGAATGATATCAGAGTGCACTCAGCTTTGAGTTGTTGTTGTAGGGTATTGAAATTCCCAACAAGATATTTTCTCTTTCTTAATACTGATCTCCCTGACTCTAGTTCACCTTACACAGTGATAGCCAATAAAATGCCTTAAACCCAGTTCTACTACTATCTTCCTCAAAGCTTCATGACTCCTCCTTCTTGCTGTATCACTGAAACCTCTCTTCCTAGCTTGCAAGCCCTGACATAAACTCTCTCTCATCCCTCAATCCTACTTCTCCATCTGTCCTAGCAGACATGTCTTGCTCTAGTCATGCTGATTGATCTCCTATCCTATTTCACAAATAATACCAAAAAAAAAAAAAAAGACAAAAACATACAACAAAACATTGCTGTTGAATTGATTCTGACTCATTGAATCTATTAGACAGAGTAGAACTGCTCCTAAAGTTTTCAAGACTGTGTCTTCACAGAAGTAGACTGTTACATTTATTCCACAGAGCAGCTGGTGAGTTTGAACTGTTAACTTTCTGGTTAGCAGCTGAGCACTTAACCGCTGTACCAGAAGGGTTCATAAAAATAACATCATCTAGCATAAAGAATATGGAATTGATCTGGGGATAATATTGGCTCCTGTTAAAGGTACTAATGTGATCTTCAAATTTCCAATAAGAATAAAAAAGATTAAAATTTGCATTTTTGTCATTGTCAAGTGTTGTCCACTCAGTTCCAACTGACTGTGACCCTATATAGGGTTTCCAGGAGTCCTGCTGTGGCACTGTCAGCTAATGTGCTGGATTGCAAAATCTGTTTGAACTGTCAGTTTAAGCTCACCAGCTGCTCCTTGGAAACCCTATACAGGGTTGCTATGGGTCAGAATTGACTCTATGGCACTTAACAACCACAACAGTTGGGTTTATAAGAAGCAGCTGGTGATTTTTGCAGTTAGCGGTCCAGTGCTTTTCTTACAAGCCCGCACTAGGAGTCCTAAAAGTAACAGTTGACTGTAGGCCCTGATTGACAATGGAGGGTTTGTAAGGTCATTGCTACACATTCATTTGCTTCCTCTGGGTTCAAACTGATTGAGAAATAGACACGAGAATCCAATTTAAGATCAAAGTACAGTGTCAGCTATCACTGCTCCAAGAAAGAGCACAATTTACATGTTTTTATCTTTTTAGAATCAGGGAGATAAGTATTAAGGAAAAGGAAATTTATTGTTGAGAATTTCAATATGCCTATCTCAATGTTCATGATCACATAAGGCCAGTATGAATTGGGGTCAACTTGACAGCCCCTAACATTCACAGTGGACTTCTGGTGTGGTGTTGTAGTGTCAGCACTGGACAACTAACCACAAGGGTGGTGTTTCAAAGTCACCAGCTGCTCCTCAGAAACCCTATATGGAATTGACTCTATGGCACTTAACAACAATAACAACAACCCAAAGGACCTGTGTCTCCTTTGTATTCTGAGAGGCTAAAATCTCCTATGGATTCATTCGGTATGAAGGATAGACCCCAAAATAAAGCCACCACGACATATAATAATCAAGCTCTCCAAAAGCAAAGACAAGGAAAGAATCCTAAAAGCAGCCAAGGAGAAGAGAAGTGTCCCTTACAAAGGCAAGCAAATCAGATTACACTCTGACTTCTCAGCAAAAACCACACAGGAAAGAAGGCAATGGGGAGACATATACAAAACCATAGAAGAAAAAACTGCCAAACAAGAATCGTCTATCCAGTAAAACTATCAATCAAATATTATGGTGCAATCGAAACATTGCAGGATAAACAGAATCTAAGAGATTTTATCAAAACCAATCCAGCACTTCAAAACATCCTAAAGGGAGCTTTTTTGGATTTAAAACCAACAAGAACAGACAACAACCAGAGATTGACAGGCGTGGCAACACCACCTGAAACTCAGTCGACAGATAACTGAGTTCAGAACAGAACAAAACTACAACAATGAATTCGAAGGAGAAGGGAGGTCAACTGAAGATCAAAATTATATCACTGTCAAAGAAGGGATAAACGTAGCAACAGAGATCCACATGGTGAGGATGTCAGGTAGATTACAGGATACAATAGATTCTTTTAAATGGAGAGAAAAGTTAACCACAAAGAAAGTTAATACTTCACAACTTCCCATGAAAATGAACTTCCAAGCAGAACAAGCAAACATGAAAACTAAGAAGAAACCGACAAGAAATAGCGCAAAAAACCCCCATAAACTCAGCACAAGAAGGCATGCAGAACAAAGGAATGAACAGCACTACCAAAAATTAATATGATGGCAGCAATTAATTCATACCTATTGATATTTACATTGAATGTCAATGTATTGAATGCACCAGTGAAGAGACAGAAAGTAGCAGATTGCATAAGAAAACAAGCCCTTCAATATGCTGCTTGCAAGAGACACACCTTACACACAAAGCCAAAAATAGACTAAAAGTTAAAGGATGGAAAAAAATATATACCAAGCTAACTGTAACAATACATAAGCAGGAGGGACAGTTCTAATCTCTGATAAAATAAACTCTAAGACAAAAACCAGCATAAGAAATAAAGAAGGATACTATCTCATGATCAAATTGGTCAGGTGAGCAAGATGACATAACTACAATAAATATCTACACTCCCAATGAAAAACCACCAAGATATATGAAGCAAACCTTACTAGTATTGAAGAAAAAAAATAGATAAATGTGCAATTTATCTATTTTATAGTGGGAGATTTTAATATGCCACTTTTGAAAAGGGACAGAATAACCAGAAATAAATGTGACAGAGTTACAGAGGAACTAAACAGCACAATCAACCAACATGACCTCATAGACGTGTACAGCACATTCAACCCAACAACAGCACAATATACTTTCTTCTCCAGAATTGACCACGTGTTAGGTCACAAAGCAAGCCTTCATTAATTTACAACCATCAAAACACTACAGAGCACCTTTTCAGACCACAATGCTATAAACCTAGAAATCAACAACAAGAAGACTAAGGAAATAAAGTCGAGTACATGGAAACTGAACAACACCCTGCTGAAAAGCGACTAGGTAAATTAAGAAATTAAATGTGAATTCATAAAGTTCCTAGAAACACACAAAAATGAAAACACAACATAACAAAATCTTTGGGACACAGTGAAAGCAGTGCTGAGAGGACAACTTATTGCAATAAATGTGCACATCCAAAAAGAAGAAAGAGCCAAAATTAACACAGTAACACAGCATCTCCACCAATTAGAAACTGACCAACAGAGGGAACCTACAGTCACCAAAAGAAAAGAAATAATAAAGAGCAGAAATAAGTGAGATGGAAAACAGAAAAACTATAGAAAGAATCAACAGTACAAGAAGCTGGTTCTCTGAAAGAAATTGACAAACAATTGGCAAACCTAACCAAAGAAAAGAGGGAGAAGACACGAATAGCTCGCATTAGAAACAACATGGGCGATGTCACAACAGAACCATATGAAATCAAAAGGATAATAACAGAATACTAGAAAGAGTTGTACTCCAACAAATTTGAAAACTTAGAAGAGATGGATGCATTTTTAGAAATCCCTACCTACCCAGACTTACACAGAATGAAGTAGAAAACATGAACAGACCCATAACAAAAGAAGAAATTGATCAAGTCATCAAAAAACTCACGACCAAAAGGAGTCCAGACCCAGGTGGCTTCCCT